CCTGTCCGAAACCTATGCCAGGATTAAATAGTCAATTCCGGCCAAAGTATAACGGGATGCCTGTATGCCGTCCTGAAAATGTTCCATCTGAGCAGCCCTAACCGTCTATCGCATGCATGTCGCACTTATGACTCCTTCCCACGATGAGCCATCGATCATCCCATAGGTTGTGCGCGTGGTGAGATTGCGTAAGTTGTAGAGATGATTATTGCTCTAACCGACCAGTTGGACGAGGCCATTCGACATGCTAACCCCCCACAAGGACACTCTCGGATTGGTCTGACCTTATGCGACCAGTAAGTTTTTCTTTGGCCTTAAATACGTTGTCAGTCAGTACTTCAGTACACTTCCATTCTCCCACTCTTGCTGCTGACCTCTACTTTGGGACTAGGCGGGGACGTTGTTGGATGAGCAGCAGTGGAGGCTTACGGCAAGGTAAAATAATCATTGCCTGTTTAGTGGTTGCAGTGCTATCTTGCAAAAGTATTGCGGCCAAATGCGCTGGTCTGCTAAACACCGACTTTCTCTCTTGTACTTTCGATGACGCGCAGGTTTGGCTAGAAAGACTAATTCTGCCAACGAATAGTAGCACCCCATATCAACAGAGCAAAATTACAGTAGGTTTTGTTAACCGAAGTAGGCTTTAGATTAGGAGGGATTGCTTAATAGGGGCTGTGATACTGATTACCGTAGAGCATAGACCTCAATATAATTCAGACAGATCAGAAAGCCGACTTTTGCGAGCACCTTTTTCAGCCGTCTGGGAAACAAAATAACGACTTAAGTAGTAGGCAGTTTTTATACTGATTTTTATGTCCTTACTTACTTGACCTTTTTTCAACATGACTTTTATGAAATATATTTACAATCTATAAAGAAAAGGTATACGACTTAAGTAGTTATTTTTTGCCGAATGCGATTTGATCCGGCGGCCGCAAAGGGATACATTCAAACACTGGCATCCTGTTGCGACCATAATATCTTAAGAAACTATTCCTAATCAAAAATGCTTCGCTGAATTTCGGTTAACATTTCATTAGACTAATGGCATTTTCTACCAAACGAGAGTATAAGGAACAATATTTTTCTAAAGTTCTCTATATGGCTTAGGATCAATTCTTTGGGAAACTAGAAACTGTAATGAGTAAATTTTCGAGGATGGTCCCTCAGCTCGTCGCCAAACGATGGGATGTGTATAGAAACACTTAAATAATTTTAAGGAAAATCGTCCTTTTGGAAAATTTATTCAGTAAATTTTTGGACACTGGATCCCCAGTCGCCATGTGGCGAAGGAACGTGTCTGAATTCGTTGAAAGGCACTTGCGGAAACACCAAATAAAAGTAGCAGACAAATCGATGGCTACTTTACGCACCCAACTAGCAAACACTAAAGATAGGGTTGACTACCTCGATAAGAAATAAATCATCTACAAAATCCCATGCGAAGCTTGCGATAGGGTATATTGCGGTCAAACAGGAAGATCTGTCTCCACACGCATCCACTAGCACTAATTGGCACTGAAGAAACGTGACCATTTGTCTGAAGTGGTTATGCATTGCCTTGACACTGGGCACACCTTTGCACTGGAGAAAACACGCATTGTCGGAGTTTGCCTCTCCAAAAAGGCCGAGAATTTCTTGAGGCCATGCACTCTGATGATTCGTGCATCAACCGACGTATCGAGTTGGCTGGAGTGTATAAACATCTCAAAGAAAAGTGGAGAAGACTACAGCCGATAGCTATGGACCAACATGAACCGAAATAAACGCCCACACCTGGTGACCCGGACCGACGGAAAGTACAGTTGCCAATCATCCACTACGCCATTGCGACTGCTAATTATGTCCACCACGGCGTGATGCAAATCGCAAATACCAATTAGTGCCCACTCTAAACGATCTTATAACCGTACGAGCACTTTGAAATGTTAATTGTTCTTTGCACACTTTCTCAAGTCTGACGACGACCTGGCGATCCAGTGTCGAAAATTTGTTGAATACATTTTCTCAACTTTCCCAAAGAACGTCTATCCTTGAAATTACATTTGTTGGGATGCTTGCCTTCCAGTTTATACGAAACACAAATAAATTAACCGTGTCTTACAAAGTATTCTATGAATGGCTGACGTCTGGTGCAATAGGGCATGCAAAATCGACAGAAAAGTCGAAATGGCAAGATAGAAAGGGTTTTTATAGACCAGCCACAAGAGAGTTCATCCAAATGGCGACATTCTGGTGTGACTGAAACTTGCTGGGATTGTGCCACATTCTGATCGCTATTTACAACTCAACTTAAATCACCATTCTTATTCGGCAACTCTCTTTAGGACTTCGCTGAACTCTTCACGAGATCGGTCGCCGATTGTACGTATTTACATAGTATAGGAAAACCGGCGAGCTCATGCCCCAATGTTTACAGTATTGGACTTCTGATAAACAGGCCATCTATTCGAGACTCGGGTGGTGCACCAGTTGCGGTTGGGTATGAGAGGCTGATGACGGCTAAAAATTTAAGTTGACCCAATTGTGAAAAAACTCGCGGCGTTCGGCATTGGCTTCGCGTTAATGCCTTTCCTACTATGCGGGTGCAAACCCCGCCGAACGCCGCGAGATTTTTCGTAAATGGGCCAACTTAAATATAAAAAATCTGCCAAAATCTCCTTAATAAAAAGTCAGCCTAGTAGTCATTCTGGTGGATTCTAGATGATCGCTTAGGAAATCCTGCTTGGGCAGTCAGCTTGCTGTTTGGTATTGGTGGATTCCATACGAGCGGTAAAGTTGGGCGGGTAAATCCATGCAAGAATGATAAAATTCACGGCACAAGGCGTGGCGTTTGTAGCACAACTGTTAAAACATCGGCTTCGCGTTGAGGCACTCCCTACTATGCGGGTTCAAATCCCGCTGAATGCCGCGAGTTTCTTCACAATTGGGTCAACTTAAATCAAGCGAATCCGCCAAACCCCCTTAACGACGGCTAAAAGGCTAGTAATGGCAATCCAAGTCTCCCCTGTCTTTGGCGGTAATTTTTACCTGCCTGCCCTAGTAGCCGCGGAGGTCTCTGTCCTGCCCGTCGCCCCTCACAACGCACTCTTAGGCCAGCAGTTTTGGTGGACCTGTACGCAACCCGGCCATCCAAATCACCACCGTTGTCACGCACCTGAACCCAGCCGCAGCGTTCGGCCGTCTATAAGAGCTCTCCACAAGGAAGCTGTCACCTTGTGCTACTCGAAGCTAGCCGTTGATGGCTCTGCCATCATGACAGGCTTCCAGCGTCTTCACCAGAGAGCCGCTGTCAAATCACAAAACTAAGCTACAATCCCATGGTCCTTTTGGGCAGCTATCCACCTCCGATTGCGGCCTCGGAACAACAACTCCCGAGGGTCACTGGTTGTACCTTGGATCAACTACGCCGTGGCTACTCAATGTTCCTCTGCCAGTACCAACACCGGCTCGACACGTCCAGAATCGACAGCTGTCCCGATTGCGGCGTATCTCCGCATGACTGTCAGCATCTGTTCGCCTGCAGTTCCCGGCCAGGCACCCAACTCACACCCGTGAACGTTTGGTTTAAACCGGTTGAGGTCGCGGCTTTTCTCTGTCTTCGAATTACAATCAGTTTGGACTCCGGCGGTGATTCTTTATCCAACAAGGGCTATGACGCACACTAGCCGCTGTGTGGCTAAAGGTGGGACTAGAATGAGGGAGTTCTGCTAGGGATCGGTGAACGTCCATCAACGAATAACTAAACCGTTGGGGCAGTCCGCGGCCTCTGAAATGCATGGCTATCCCACACAAATACACCACTCGCTAATTTGCGGAAGAAATGAAAAAAACTATTAACTACCAGGCTGCATTGCAGAGGAGGAAGAAAACCGAGGCAACGGGGTGGCGAAGACTAATTGGTATTATCCAACACAATGGAAGACAAGCAAAACTGGGTAGACGGCAGTCAGATCTGGAGATGCAAACGAGGTCCGATTTAGGAACCGCGTCAAGGATGCATCGTGTGCTTCTATAGCATTCTCAAAGCATTCACTAGTCGTTTACATGCAAGGCTGTGTAGATATATAGATCTCTCTACATGAGGAAGGAAAGGGGAGGAATCTAGCCAAGAATTCACCTTGTCATGAGAGATACGAACCTAGTCGAGGGGAGGGGAAGGGACACGAAGGGTATATAATCCAATAAACATCTTTTGACTACAAGCATCAGCGGAATTTCGTGCATACCTTTGAGGAAAAAAAAACAAACTGATGGGTGGATGGTTGGAGGATGTACAGTCGATTCAACTGTTTTCCCGACAGTTTTGTGCAGAGTCAGCACTGGCAACGCTCAGTGTGAACGCCAGATTTGCACAAGATGGTCCAGCATGGTATTAAGCAAAAGGACTAATCAGACGGACTTGTTTATATGTCCCCCTGCCAGGACACAAAAAAAGGAATACCTTCCCTCCACCCAATGCAATACAAATGACCCTGCGCTAAATTTCCGAAAGGGTAAATATTCTATTTTGAAGAAGATTTTGTTTGGGATAAAAAGTAACTTAAATGAGTGAATTTTCCAGTTTGGCGTCCAACTCGTCTTCGGACTAACAGGAAAAGTGCAACGAACAACTAAAATTTCAGAACTGCTGAAAAAAATCAGTAGTTATATGAGGTGAGACGTGATTGGTAGGTGTGACCTCAGTTAGGGTCTGTCGGGCGGCCTCTGTCTTTTCCATTGTTCTTTGACGTGCCCCTCCGAAAATGGCCGAGAATTCCTCGAAGCCATGCACTCCCACGATTCATGCATCAACCGGCACGTA